TTTCCAATACCTTTCCTCTTCTAGCCGTACGCAAAGCCACCACACCTTCGTGTATAAAAGCGAGTGAGGGATCTTTTAAAGCGTGTTAGGCGCACCTACGGTACGTGAGTGGTGCGCGTCTGGTCCCCTCTAGTGTTTCCTTGTCCCTTCTACGTTGATCTCTAAGATCTGAAAACCTTCGAATACCAAAAGGGAGAGACCACCGGCAAAAAATTTTAGCGCTTCTGTAAACTAAACGCCGTAGACTTCTGCTTACCGATTAAACACGCCCACGTGGTTTGGGTTTCCTTCCGTCGTAAGCGCAAAAAGTGCTTTCTTTGGAACCTTACCAACGCGTGCACTTCACCTTGCTCGTGAAATTGAAACATTGAGAACACGTTCCTGGAGATTTCGGCAACACTGGCAGTTGCGGGCAGAGACTTACCTTCGAAACTCTGCAGTGTTGTGGGCCAGTACACGCCCAAGAAATAATCTTGTCATTTGTGAAGGATCACGAGAAATCAAGATCTCTTCCTAAAATATGCACCCTTTGAGCGTGCCAAAAACACTTTCTTGATTTCTGGTACTGTAGAAAGTATACAGTGTCTTTTAAAGCTGTAGCATCATAGGGCCAACCAACCTCAGGACGAAACGGGAGGTCGGTCAGTCCATAACCGCTAAATAATATTGAAACAAAACGGTAACCGGCCCCTGGAATCGAACCCCGGTCACCGTCTTGAATATTGTAAGCGCTGCTGACTGAAGTATGCACCGAACACGCAGGAACGGAAAGAGCAGAAGCAGGTGGTGTAGAAAGAGCGCGCGGATCGAGGAAATGGCAGGAAAGCGCGCTCCCCCTCTCTTGGTGACCTACAAGATATCAACGCAAAGGCTTTGTATTGGGGAAGCGCACGCAGCGTCACAAAGGGACAATGGTGTGACGGAATTTATTTCTATACAAAACCCTGCCCTATAGGCGCCACCCGAACTAAAAGCGCCACCCACCCTATAAAGCTATCGCATTTAAACCCGTTCGGCAAAAGGGCCAAACATGTATCCAATTTGTTTTTTACGTTTTACAGATTGCTTTTAAACGCTGCAAGAACTGCACAAATGCGCTCTGTCCAGGTTAGTTGTACGGCCAGGAGGGCATGTTATAAACGACTACTTGTCACACCTAAGTTTGTTTATTAACTAAACATTTGTAAATACTTTTAATTCGCAAGGATAAATCTATGGTTTAATTACAAACTGCCGAGCATCATCAAAAACTTCACAATCAGTCAATTTTTGAAAATTTTGAAGCGTGTACGAAGTTCGGTGGTGCGCTAACGTTACCACTCCGGCAACGAACCCGAGTCTGTGGGTGCGAAACTCTAACCCCGCGGTTTTTCTGTTGCTCATCATCCGCCTTTTCACGTCGCCAGCTTTGCGCCTGTTGCACTGGTCGAAACTTTGGCGCCCAACCTTGCTTTTCACGCGCTTCAAATCATTCTAAAATGTACTGACTTATTTATTTTCGATGACGCTCAGCAAGTTTCTTATTGTAGTCGTATGTTTATTTTTAGTAATTGAAAAGTTAAATACACAATTTAGTTAATATCTGACTTATCATGCCGATTATCTTCCTATATTATGTCCCCCTGATCGTATAACTCACCTGCCCGGACAGGCTCAGTGTAGCTTTCACGCTACTTTTAAGACAAATTTATTGAGACTAAAAAACCTGTATAGTATTTTGGTTAATTTAACACTGACCCTATTTCCTTATCCACCTAGCTGTTTCTAGAGTGTATAGCAGCATGTTTGAGGCAATGTTATTCAATGTTTAAAATACGGAGTGACCGCGCGTTTTGCGATTTGTATCTTGAGGGATGGAGAAGTTGTCGTGTGTCACCGTATTTACTGCACATCTTGAACGCAAAACGTTAAACTCCTGAAAGGAGCCAACACGTGCGCCGGCGCACACGCGCATCTAAACACGCAAGTTCACCGACAAACACTTACTGTTATGCACAGACACAAGAGCACGTGCTCGTGCACAATGCATTCCCCCTATGGAAAGCCGGCCGCAGAGGGCGAAGGAATAGAAACACGCGAACAGCGTTGCGTTCCAGGTCAGGAGCGAAGCAAGCGGCTGAAACCCGTTGCTGTTGTTGTAATGAGAACGAAGAAGCCGTGAGGCGCCTCCTCGTAGCGTTTTGGCGCAGACGCATGACAAGCCCCGTCGTGCTTTCTGGTTAACTCCCCCAGGGATTATTCTCCCAGCTCGCGGTGAAGCACGGTCGTGAGTAACTGAGACAATTCTCGGCTAAGGCAACTGCCTAATGGGTTCTTTGAGCGCGCCACGTCTTTTCGGCTGTGCTGGTGCCGAGAAAAGCATGCGCCTCCGGCTAACGCAGAAAAACCGCAGCAACCGTCTCCTTTTTTTTTTCCGTTGTTGTTTTTTTCGGCTGTAGAGATGAGCTTTGTGGCGGGGCCCATTTTCTTTTTCACCCTTTCTGGCTGGCTTCTCTTCTTTATCGTTCCTTCGGAGGAGTCAACGAGACGGGGTCAAGCGAGACGTGCAGAAAAGGGCAGCTACTGTAGCGGCTACCGCTTAGCCTGAGCCGGATTACAAAGAAAGAAACGAAAAGCGCCGGTGCTCGCCGGAAGCTTCTTCTCGTGTCAGCTCTGGCGGCTACAAACTGGTTAGGAGAACGATAATATGTTTCCGTATTTTTTTTCGGTCTTGATTAGACGGGGCTCGTGTTCGCTCGTTTTGTACTACCTTCTTTGAAAGGATACTGATATGTGGCCGTTCGCACGTGCAGTGAGTCCCACCGTGCCTCGGGAATAAAAATAAATATTTGCGGTGAGAAGCTCGCTAGGGGCGCTTCTGTCTTCCTCGCTACGGGCAGTGCACGTGCGACCCACGCGGTTATGTTTTAATTTTCGTAGTGCATAGAAGCTTGGCATTGCACGCGCTTACACCGGCGGAGGAAGTTCAAGCATCCTCACTCCGGGTTGCGAAAACATTCTACCAGGCGCCGATACCGAAACTTCTCGCCGCGAATAGCGACTCGAAACGATTTTTGTAGAAGATCACTGTCAGCGCGCGCGAAATGCGATAGCGACGGTTCTGTGCAGCATTATTGGAAACACGAGCGTGAGCACGCCACTTTATGCCGAGTGTGCTTTTGCAAAACGTATTTTGCGTTGGCTACGGTCGCGTTTCAGCTAGTTTGATTGGGCTGCCCGCGGCTCTGCACTATCTTACCAGCTATAGACACCACGATGTTACTCGCAGGAGCGAGCGCGTAGCCTGGCTAACGAGTGCTTATGCCGGAAGAGACAGTCGCTGACGGCAGAATGCATAGTGACTTCCAAGAATCAAATACCGACCAGATAATCCCCGTAGCGTGAAAATTTAAAAAAAAAAAGCCCCGCGTTTGTTAAGCTTTCAGGGAAGAAACGCACGGCCTGTCGCGCTCACGCATTCGTTCTTGTCTACCATCGGCTACGCAGGGACGTTGCCACGCCCTACCTTCGTTAAGCTGTCAGTGAAGCTCCTCCCCAGCTCTGCCCACTGGCACATATATCCGGCGTCGCGTATGCGACTGGTGAACGACCAAAACAGTTTGCTGACCTGTGCTCCGTTTTATTTTAAGTGTGGGCGTAGACGAAGCTACAAGAGCGGGCTCCGGGCTTTCAGCGTCCCTGCCAAGCACGCGCGCTCGTGCAGTGTAAGCACTGTTCAGCATCACATGATCGCGCTTGTAGCATCGGCGGCGCCTAGACTTGAGCTGAGACGAAGTATGGTTACGGCTTTTTATTGCCCGTCAAGTTTACTTCACCTCTTTCTTTAAAGCACTGCAGAGAAGTGCCATTGCGGGTTTTAGGACGGGTACCTCGTTTCGGTTCTGTCGAAACCTGTTAATCCATTTTCGACCTCTTGAGTACGAATGTTGTTTATAAAACAAATCCACCGCGCACGATGTCTACTCTAATGAAATAATGACAAAAAAGTTTTGTGCCGATGATGTCACTCTCACGGCGGTCTCTGGCCCCCTTCCAAAAAGTAAAAGTTTGCGTACGTTGTCCCTGAACTGCCGCGCTATATTTCTAGAGCATTCATCAAACGATCGTCGAAATCAGAAGAAAAAAATTGGTCCTAATTGTACAATTTATTAAGGCGAAAGCCTTTAATGTCTCATCGCTCAGTCGACCTTCGAAGTCCTTGAGCGAAAACACGTCGGAGACACGAACGGTACTAAAACGTTTACGTGATTACTCGTGCGAATTAGACGCAATGAAATTAAGAAGGATGACAAAGCGAATTTAGAGGAATCAAAGTGAATTAAGCGAAATTAAAGTGAATTAAGAGTAATTAAAGAGAAGTAAGAGTAATTAATGAAAACTAAGGGCTATAAGTGAATCAAGAGGAATCAAATTGAATTAAGAGGAATGAAAGGAAATAAAGAGGAATTAAAGTGAATTAGAGGAATTAAAGAGAAGAGTAATCAAAGCTAATCAAGAAGGACGGCAAAGCTAATTAAAAGGAATTAAAGTGAATTAAGAGGATTTAAAGCGATTTAAGTGGATGACTAAGCAAATTATGATGACTAAGTGAATTGATATGATGACTCAGCACATAGAGAAGGATGACTCAGCACATTGAGAAGGATGACTCGGCACATTAAGAAGGATGACTCAGCACATTAAGAGGGATAACTCAGCGAATTAAGCTGGCTAATCAAAGTGCCTACGTGAAAAAAGAGAACGTAAAACAAAGTAAATCATGTGTCTGTCTTTAATGGATCGGCGCTTGAACTTTCGCATTCAAGTCGTCTTAGGGATAACGTTAGAAACCCTGTGAATTTTCAAATGTGCGCCACTTGAAGTTTCGTTGAGACTTCTCCGGATTTACCGGCTCAGAACATCTTCAAAAGCCGTTCCAATGTGACGCGTCTGAGAAAGCCTTGCGAACATGCATAAAATCATGCGCTTATCTTCTTTTTATTTTCTACCTTGTCACGCAGGAAGGCAGGTGGCGACGACGGAACCGGAGCAGCGGTCGTCCAATCACGGTCAGTCTGCCATCATCTTCTCTTTTTTTAATTATAACGTAACTTGGTTCGCGCTAGCTCGGTTTATTTCTGATTGTAGCATCTGGCCCCAAGGCATAACCTTATTTTTTCCGTGAGTTCTTTAATAAAAGATCAAAATAATAAAAAAAAAATCTAAATTAAACGCAAGTTTGTTTCTTTATTTTTTTTATTTTTCCACGGAAGAAAAATTATGTCTAGAGAAACACATGCGCCGCTAGTCGCAATTTAGGTGGCGGTAAACCTGCTCTCAGCCCCGCCCATACGGAAAGGTGCTAACCTAGCTAAGCACCGTTTTTGGCCCTTACAGATTGCAGTGATAATTGACGTGTGTGATGTTCCTTGCAAAACTGTTTCTCTGCGCGGTATTGAGTGTTGGGAAGTACTTCAAGAACGTTCTACTTAAAGTACTACTTCAAGTAGGTTTAGGAAACTTGTACTTTACTTGAAGTACATTCTCTCAGTATGTACTTGTACTTTACTTAAAGTTTTTTTTTTTTTTTGTACTTTCGGAAGAAAGTACAATTCCCGACTTCAAAGTACATTACCCAAATTTGGTTTTGTTAAATTTGTATCACGACATGATGCTCTGTGAACTCCGAAGAAATACCGGAAGGGATATTCTACTGTCACCGGAAACGTGAGCAGACGACTCATTGCTCCGTTTGTTCTGGGGTCGGCTTTTCCGTAGTTTTTTTAACTCTCGCTACTTCTCGGTCGGTCAGCGCAAGGGAGAAGGTTTAAAATATTCGGAGAGCAAAAGTAATCATAATGTAGCACCTGGGACTGTGGTGCGGAAAAATTAAAATTTCAGGTCGAAGAAAAAGACAACACAGGAGAGCGTCACAATGTTTTGAGACATTCTCTTTTATGTTTTCCTTCGACTTGAAAGTTCCTTAATATTTTCGCGCCCCAATTTCAAGTGTCACATTATGCTTAATTATCACCAGCTTGCCTTCACACTCACTCTTTTTTATAAACAGAGGGCACTTTTTTATGAGAGGATTGCTTGCGGATGCTATAGGGCTAACGTCATGCTCTCTCCTAGTACATTTAACCCGCTTGGGTGCAACAATCAAGTGCGAGCGGCACAAAATTTAGAAGAGGGACTTCTGAACTTGGCCCTATTCCTTAAAATAACTACTCTGCGACCACTTAACTTTATCAAATATTCGCCGCTGCTTTTGAAAATAGATCATGCACCCGTGATTACCGCTGGGCAATGGATAGCAGTTTAAAAAAAAATCACTGTATAGGGGAATGAAAGGGCATTATGAAAGATTATGTTGAAATACTTGTACTTTACTCTGGAAGTGCATTGTATTTATAGTACTTTGCGTCAAGTACATTGCACGCAGCGTACTTACTACTTTACTTGAAGTACATCACTTCTCATATACTTTGTACTTTACTTGAAGTACTTTTAAGATGTATTTTACCCAACACTGCCGGTAGTAGTATTTGCATTAACGATATTTGTATACTTGACACACAAATAATCTAAACAGAATCATTATTGATTTCCAAACTGTTGTTGTCTTTTTCGCTTCGGCTTTAAACGATAACAAATATGGCTGTCGGCGTTCGCGGCGTGCTCGACGAGCGTATCTTGTTCAGCTCCTTTATTTTTATCAGTACGAGTCGTTCTGCGTTCACCGAGGTGTTTAGAGGAAGGCCTCAACCGACCTAGTTTGCAGCAAACTGTCGCAAGTACGCGCCTTGGGAAGCGCTGTGCGGGTGCTTGTTTTTCGTAGCGGGACTGACCTAAGTATAGTGTCCCACGTCAACTATGTAGCATGATCTGGCTTGATTGGTTCGTTTTCGCATGTTGACGCTGAATAAAGATGTTGGATTTTGTATAAACGGCCCCATTAAACTGTGAATTGTGCAACCGTCGTGATTTCAACCATTGTTTTAATGCCTAAATGATACCTACACAGGTTAGGCGGATCGCAAGTTATTCTGCTTCTTTTGCTGGGGCTGTGGTGACGTCAGAACCCCGAGCTCTGATTGGTTCTGATTGAAGGGTGGTGGGTAGACCTCAAAGCAAGCTGCCTTGACGTCTATAAACTGTCCTTCAATCAAAGCCAATCACAGCTCGGCGTTCTGACGTCACCACAGCCCCAGCAAAAGAAGCAGACGAACTTGCTCTCCGCAGAATTTGCGAGCCATTCGGCTGGAGGCAATGGGGCGTTTGGCTTACATCAGGTTTGTCCAGGTATGTTTTCCTCATTTCGCTTCGAACGGCGAACAATCCTAAAGTTTTGCAGTGCACCCGGCCTGCCAGTGTAAATATATTTAGGTCGCGTTTTAATTGTGTGTCATGACACTCACCCACTAGCTCGTGGCAGAGCCTCCTCTATGCTGACAAAGCCTCGCAGATCATCATGAGAAGCGACCGCCGAAATTGAAAAAGCTAGAGTGGCAGACAACGGATGAGAGGAGAGCCACGTGATGGGCGTCCCGCTGCGGCGAAACGCCAGAACACACTTCTCCTCAGCGATAGAATGTCCTCTCGTGCTGTTCGCGTTACTCGCGCTACCGCTTCTTTTCTCGTCGGCTTTGAAAACCATGTTTCGGTTCCTCACCGCTGCAAAAGCCGTGCGCTCACGTCCAGACTCCTCGAAAAATGCTCTGTGTTGCGTACCAGATCCTCGCACTCCATATCTGAGACCGGGCACTTTGTGGCTCCGTCTTTGAACTGCCAGGCTTTGTGAGTATAGGAGAGGCTATGCTCGTGGATGTCACGCGAAACAAATTACAAGTACAAAAAAGCTGAAAGGACGGCATAATTTTTTGTTGATTTTTTAGTCCTCACGGTCACTTTTTACCACACATGTACAGACGCTGAGAGACGTCTGTATTGGACCGTGGCTCGTGGAATGCTAGAAAGCCGCTTTCACGGTCGTGTCTTGCGAGCGTTGCAGTCGTTTTTTTAGACGGGGGCGGAGCAACAAACGATATCGAAACCGGGCGCCGACGCGCAACTTTAATGTCCACGTCTTTAGGGCATTGCAGACGACGATAGACGGTGGGGGAATAGTGGACGAAGCCGGAGGCTGTCGCGCGTCTGCTCGCGCGACTAGCAGGCGGTGTCAAACGCTGGACTAAACTCACCGGATGTCCCGAAAGGGAGACACTAGGCTTGCGAGCGTATTCGGCCGGGCAGCCAAGCCAATCCAGTAGTAACAACAGGGCCACTGATCTGTGGACGGGGCTTAGAGCGGGCCATGACCTCGACCTACATTTCGTCTAACTCCGTAAAAAAGCTTATATTTTTTTTTTCATTTCGGTTTTTTTAGGAGTAACATTCACATATCACCAAACCAAACGTCAACGATCTTCTACAGAATTTCTGATTATGGTAAGTAGTAAAGGTACGATTCCCGTATTAAATCATATATTTCATAAAAGTAAACATTATTTAGATAGAGGACACTTAAAAAGAATGTAAGATGGAAATCTTGTGCATGACCGTGGCCATCATGGACGGGATTCTCTTTTTTTTTTTTGTGCCTTTTAAGTGAGAACCAGGGCTCAGGGTTGATTAATTTAATGTTAATTAAACTCTCAAAATAGAGCAATCAATTTTAGTTGGTAAAATAATATTTCTGCTATTTGGAGCTTCAATGATTGTGTTTTGGCTACACATGTTTTTATATATTGAACCACGACGGTTAAAATTGATAACAAATTTACAACGTCCGGTGCGTAAACCAATTCCCGTAGCCATCTAAATTGTACTCCCTTGCATCTCTTCAGAATATGACTTCCGTCAGAATTAAAATAATTTTAGATCTTTAAACTCTAGTTCAAATGTACCATATCCTTCTGCAGATCATTAACACATCTACACAGATTCCTGAGCTCAGAAAAGCGTTGTGATGAAGATATGGCGGTTTACCAGAACTTCCTATTGTTGTGTACACTTTCCGTAATAAAAACAAGGCATTCTCAACTTTCGTGCTATATATCTTAACGCCAAAAAATAATTTGGAGTAAAACAAAATTGGAAAAAAAAGAAGTTTATTAGGAGTTTTTGATCACAAAGGTGACAGATCGTTCGTCTGCTGGTCTGCTGCTTTGTATTAGAGAAAGAAGACGGGCAATAAATTATAAGGAAAACAGAAGTCAAAACAGTCAAAAAAAATGTCCGTCACACGAGCTCTGTCAAGCACTCTGTAACGCAGGAGCGTAGGGATAACGTTTTCGATTCTTCTTGCTTCGCCTGAGTGCTCGTATACCAACGAAGCCGTAGGCCGAACTGCGCTTTGACGCCTATGTCTTTTGAGCGCACCGCGTAACACGCACTATTAATCTCACCCTGGACAGACGCGCATTTTGCGCTCGTAAAAAGAGAAATGCCGTGGCCATGAACGCGGAATTTCAAGTCCGTTTCGTGTTCATTCCTTGCGACATCGTGTTAAGCGACACCCGATTGATCGCGCGCAAATCCGAAAGTCGACCTTAGCCGCAGCTCGGATTAATAAGGGTTCATTGCCGTTCGCACCAGCGGGAAAAGGTTTCTTTTTGTATCGCTCTTTCTTTTGGGTTGCGTCAGATTTGAATTAATGTAATGAATTTGTCTAGCAGCCAGCCGGATTTGCAACGGATTTGCGATAAGGTGCGTGGCGGGTGCAGGGTGTACTTTGCGCAGGGGAGTCCGGGCGACCTTGGCCTTCGCGTCACCTTTGTTTGACCTTGACTTTCCGACGGGGAAGGTGGCGTATGGCCTCGTGGCTACGGATTCCGCCAATAGCCTCGGGGCGAGGACGGCCGTGGTCCGGGGAAACTTGTCAATGCGCGCGAGGGCACGCTTTTCTTTTAGATGCGTTCATTTTTTTTTTCTCCCGTGTAGTCGACTTGCGTCCCTGTGTCTCGAAATGAATCTTCCCCTGGATTAATTCCCGCCAGGCTCATTGCCGAGACGGGCTTTTGTTCCTCGTAAGCATTTATTTCTCGCTTCCCTCGAGTTTCTACGG